AACGGCTCATGTCAAACTGTGGACCTTGTTGTCAGGTATGTTACTCTGATCGTAGGTCTTTGTAGAAGCACTTTCTTATTGGCTTCGTTTGCTATTTGAATGTAGCTGTGCTCTATGTACAGTACAGACCAAAAGTTTGGACATCTTTTCATTCAAAGAGTTTTCATTTTCATGACTATGAAAATTGAAGATTCACACTGAAGGCATCAAAACTATGAATTAACACATGTGGAATTATATACTTAAAAATGTGTGAAACAACTGAAAATACGCCTTATATTCTAGGTTCTTCAAAGTAGCCACCTTTTGCTTTGATTACTGCTTCGCACACTCTTGGCATTCTCTTGATGAGCTTCAGTCACCTGAAATGGTCTTCCAACAGTCTTGAAGGAGTTCCCAGAGATCCTTAGCACTTGTTGGCCCTTTTGCCTTCACTCTGCGGTCCAGCTCACCCCAAACCATCTCGATTGGGTTCAGGTCCGGTGACTGTGGAGGCCAGGTCATCTGGCGCAGCACCCCATCACTCTCCTTCTTGGTCAAATAGCCCTTACACAGCCTGGAGGTGTGTTTGGGGTCATTGTCCTGTTGAAAAATAAATGATGGTCCAACTAAACGCAAACCGGATGGAATAGCATGCCGCTGCAAGATGCTGTGGTAGCCATGCTGGTTCAGTATGCCTTCAATTTTGAATAAATCCCCAACAGTGTCACCAGCAAAGCACCCCCACACCATCACACCTCCTCCTCCATGCTTCACGGTGGGAACCAGGCATGTAGAGTCCATCCGTTCACCTTTTCTGTACAAAGACACGGTGGTTGGAACCAAAGATCACAAATTTGGACTCATCAGACCAAAGCACAGATTTCCACTGGTCTAATGTCCATTCCTTGTGTTCTTTAGCCCAAACAAGTCTCTTCTGCTTGTTGCCTGTCCTTAGCAGTGGTTTCCTAGCAGCTATTCTACCACGAAGGCCTGATTCACACAGTCTCCTCTTAACAGTTGTTGCAGAGATGTGTCTGCTGCTAGAACTCTGTGTGGCATTGACCTGGTCTCTAATCTGAGCTGCTGTTAACCTGCGATTTCTGAGGCTGGTGACTCGGATGAACTTATCCTCCGCAGCAGAGGTGACTCCTGGTCTTCCTTTCCTGGGGCGGTCCTCATGTGAGCCAGTTTCTTTGTAGCGCTTGATGGTTTTTGCGACTGCACTTGGGGACACTTTCAAAGTTTTCCCAATTTTTCGGACTGACTGACCTTCATTTCTTAAAGTAATGATGGCCACTCGTTTTTCTTTACTTAGCTGCTTTTGTCTTGCCATAATTCTAACACTCTATTCAGTAGGACCATCAGCTGTTTGTCCACCTGACTTCTGCACAACACAACTGATGGTCCCAACAACATTTATAAGGCAAGAAATCCCACTTATTAACCTGACAGGGCACACCTGTGAAGTGAAAACCATTTCAGGTGACGACCTCTTGAAACTCATCAAGAGAATGCAGAGTGTGTGCAAAGCAGTAATCACAGCAAAAGGTTGCTACTTTGAAGAAACTAGAATATAAGGCGTATTTTCAGTTGTTTTACACTTTTTTGTTTAGTACATATTTCCACATGTGTTAATTCATAGTTTTGATGCCTTCAGTGTGAATCTACAATGTCAATAGTCATGAAAATAAAGGAAACTCATTGAATGAGTAGGTGTGTCCAAACTTTTGGTCTGTACTGTAGTTAATAAATTTTATTTGTTCTCTTAGCATTTTGCCAAATATGGAAGCCAGTGTTAAAGCCTTCCTCATTGGTGTGGAACCAAGACAGCCCTTCCTCCTTCATGTTGGTGAAAATAAGAGCAGCACCAAAGACACTTCACCATCAGCAATCACAAGGCCATCCATAGCCGCTTCCAATGAACTTTCAAAGCACACTTCACCTTCAGTGCAAAGTACCATGAATGAATGACCTTTGTTGTATATTGCTGTCAGTGCTGTTTGATGTTTTGAAGTAAAAGTAGATTACATACTGCAACTGGTGCTGGTGTTTTTGTAGCATCTAATGTCTTTTAAAATGAATTTGGGGATTATTGATGGCCAATAGTTTCTGGGGGAAAAAAAGGTTTTAATTGCTCTACTGGCTTTTATTTGGTAGTAAATTGACAAAAAAAAAGTGGGTAATGAGAGAAGGGGAAGACCGGGAAGTGAACCCACGACAGCCACATTGAAAACTAGAGCCTTCAAATGTGGGTTGTGCTTAACCCCTGCGCCACCACAGCACACTCTGCCAGTAGTATTTTAAAACTCAGATTTCTATGTTGATATATACTTTACACAGTTTTGTGTTAGATTAATACGTTCATAGTGTTAACTTTTTTTTAAAAAGGTTTTATTGGCTCTAGTGGCCTTTATTTGATAGGTAATTGACAGGAAAGTGGGAAATGAGAAAAGGGGAAGACATGGAGCAAAGGTCGCCAGGTCAGGAATTGAACCTGGGATGGCCACATTGAGGACTAAGGCCTCCATATGTGGTTGTGCTTAACCACAGTACACCAATTAACTTCTGACTAAATACACTAGTGTTGGGCAAGTCAACGCTGATGTTTGTTTAATTTCAACTACTGAGTGTTGATTCAACTGTATCACAAATGACACTTTCAAAAGTGTAATTTCTACACCATCCAGAGTTTACCGATGTAGACATTTTCAAAGTGTTTAATTTAACTCTAGGAGTTGAAATTCAACACTTCCAAATTTGCTGTGTGAAGTTCTGCTTGGAAAAGTGGATGAATAAAAGATGCATCATGCAGGTTGAAGCAGAAAGGCGCCCCCTAGCGGAGAAGCAGGGATCTCTCTCTCTCTCTCTCTCTCTCTCTCTCTCTCTCTCTCTCTCTCCTCTCTGCGCGCGGTGACGCTGCGTTAAAGGCTGGCTCCAGCCCAGCTTCATCCTCCTCCTCATCCTCATGTTTACCCCCCGGACCCCCTCTCCTCTCCTCTCTAGTCTCTCTCGGTGACTCGACTCGGTTCTGTTTCTGCTCTCCAGCCGCAGCGCGGTGATCGCGGCGCGGCGCGGCGCAGCGCGGGCCGCAGCTTTTCACGGGACGTGGAGGACAGCTCTGATTTCCGGGGACTTTCCACTCTAAGGTAACGTTTCTCCTCCAGAACCGGACCGCTCCGCTTCCTGTTTGGCTTCTGGACCGGAGCGGGACGGAGAGAGCCTAGCCGAGCCGCGCGCGCTGCCAGGTCCGGACGGGACCCGACGGGACCGTGGGTCCAGCTGCGTGTTTCCTGTTGATCCACGCAGGGAAGAGACGCGAACAGGGCCGGGTGGAGGAGTTAGAACCGCCGGTCCGAATCGAGCCGAACCTGGACGGCAGGGAGGAGTTAGAGCTGCTGGTCCGAACCGAGCCGAACCCGGGCTGTGAAGGCTGAGCCGGTCCTGAAGACGGCCAGTGGAGATGGTTCCGACCCGCTGTCCGCGCTCCTGCTGCGGCTGGCGGCCGCTCTGATCAACATCTGCAGCGATGTAGTCAGCCTCTTCATCTGCGTCCTCCTCATCCTCAGCGACCCGTCCCACCTGAAGATGATCCTGCTGCGCCGGTTCCGAGTCCTCATCCTCACCGTCTTCCTGGTGGCCTGCTCCATGCACATCATGGTGGACCTGCTGCCCAAGCTGGAGCGCCAGGGCGCCGGCTGCTCCTGCTCGCACGGCCCGGCCCAGGCTCCGGAGCGCGGCTGGGCCGAACCGGGCTGGCCCGACAAGCACACGCTGCGGATCCTGCAGGACTTCAGCAGCGAGCCCGGATCCAATGCGTCCTCCCGAGCCCTGGACCGGCTCCCTTTGGACGGAGCGCCGGCCCCGGAGCCGCCGGGCCCGAGGGGCGACAGGAGCAGACTCTTCCTCCAGGGGCCGGCGGCGGCCCGGGTCGGTCCAGCCCGGGGTTCGAGGCTGGCGCTCCTGTTCGAGCATCCCCTCTATAGACGATCTGTGCCGCCGCTCACGGAGGAAGACACGCTGTTCAACGTGAACACGGACATCAGGTTCGACCCCAAAGCGGCGGAGGACCAGGCGTGGTGAGCAGGGGCGCATCCACACGGGGCGGGGGCGCACAGATGCATTCTGGGAGGTTTAGTCAGGCCGGACTGGAGTCACAGTTAAACTGGGAGGAAATTCACTGTTTTACAGTGTAATAATAATAATAATTATTGTTGTTGTTTTATTTTTATTTATTTTATCTTACAACCTTCTGTTCTCTTCCTGCAGAATAAATACAATAATACCGTATTTTTGGGACTATAAGCCGTTACTCCCCCCCCACCCCCCCTTTGAACCACGGCTTATAACCGGTGCGGCTTTTCTGTGGATTTTTCTTCAACCACCAGGGGGCTCTGTAGCAGGAAGTGAATAATTGGAAATCAAACTTGGAAATCAAAGAAGAAAGCGCTGGTTTTCATTTAGAACAAGCACATGCTAGCAGCAGGCACGATGGAGAAATGTTTTCAAACTCATAACCCCTCATTATGGAAACCACAGGAAGAAGTTCATATGATGCAGCTTTTAAGTTGAAGGCTATCGATCCGGCAGCTCAGATGATAGCTGCTGCATGTCAGCTCGGCGTGAACGAATCCACGCTTCGGCTCTGGAGACGCAGGGCTGCGTCATTAATAGCAGATTTCCAGAAGGACGCAGCCCTCTGCTGCGTCCTTCTGGAAAAGTGAGAGCGGTGGAGATGCTAGTGCAGGGGTGGGCATAAGTGCATCTTATAGTGAGGTGGGCTCTATAATCTGGAAAATACGGTAGTTCAGATATTTTCATGTAACTTTTTCTGTTTTTCCATTTTTATTTTTCTAAATGTTTTATTTAGTGAATAAAACATTTTCACCCCAAAGTCTCAGTTTTCATACGTTTATTAAAATTTCATGTTAAAAAACTAAAGACAGTTTATTAATAATTATTTAAATGCTGCACACAAGTTTATGATGAAAATAAAGAAACATTCTAAACAAAAGAACTTAAACTTGAAGCAGTATTCCTGAAGTTCAGGATGTTGTGAACGCTGGTTTAGCGCTCGGCTAACTGAAACTCTGTTCTAATAAACATCTTCACCGAAATCAGGCAAAGTTCTGATTCTGAAGATCTACATAACGCTATGCTGAGTGTGCATCTGACTTCTATCAAGGACTTTTGCAGAGGGAGGATTTTGCTGGACGTTTGTGCTAATGCTAATGCTAGCGGCCCTGCTGAATGTTTTGATATGTCATGTTGATCGGTCAGCTGCCACTTGGTCTCTTCCTGTTTCCTGATGTCAGACTTCTGAATGCTGTCGTCAGAGGAACTGACCTCTGACCTCTTGGCTGGTGGTGTAGAGAAACATTTTTGTTTACGTAGCATTGATTAGCAGTACCATCACTTGGCCACAGGGGGAGCTGTTTTCCTCTTCTGACAGTAAATCTACACATAACCCAGATTCAAATACAGATTTTCAGTTTTAGTGCGTTTCCATGACGACCCAGTTGTTTTTCTGGAGGAAATCACCTAAATGTTGATGTTTTTCTGTTCAGTAACAGCTGGAATATCGCTGATTAGTTCTAATAAATTAGGTTTGTTTGTAGCCGTCACAGCGGCCATCAGAACTAGACGTTTAATATTTTCTGTTGAGCTCTTTTATTTGTTCAGTGTTAGTAATCGCCTCCTTCCTGTTCAGATCCTGTCTCAGTATTTAAACTTCCTGTTCCTCTTCCTGCCGCCATCCAGGACCGGCGAGGGCGCCGACGACGAGCTGGGCCCGACGAGCGAGCTGACGGCCGAGTCGTACCCCAACTGGCTGCGGTTCCACATCGGGATCAACCGCTACGAGCTTTACGGCCGGCACAGCCCGGTGGTGGAGGCGCTGCTCAGGGACCTGCTGACCCAGAGGATCACCAGCGTGGGTGAGTCCTCACGACCTCCGACCTTTCATGCTGAGGGTTTTGAGTCATGCAAACTGTCTGTTTCTGGTAGGAACTAAAACGTGGAGCCAGGGTTCCACCAGAACCGTCCCGATCCCCACAACGTCCAGAGTCGGATTTAATAAAACACAAAAAAATGTTTTAAGCATCAATAATCCATCCAGCTGATCGAGTCTGGT